TTTTTACTTGTATTGTACTGGTACAGATCAATTTAACAGCAATACCAGCCTGATCACGAACACTGCTGTTGTGTCACGTACAGTTCCCTGTGATGATATTAGCCTTATCTCTAGGAAGGCATCCAATGAAGCAAACATTTCAACAAAGTTTCTTACAGAATTTTGTAGCCCAATTCACATATATATATATATCTGTATCCTAAAATTTTTCTGAACTAAACACAATTTCCATGACATCGCAAAACTGAAAAGTTTGGAGCAAATCTTAAGAGGGCTATTTTAATAGAGTTCTATCAGCATGTAAATTAAATATTTAGATGACTATACAGATAGCTGAAATTGAGCTCTATCAGCTGATAAATTAAATATTTAGATGACTATACAGATAGCTGAAATTGAGCTCTACCAGCTGGTAAAGTAAATATTAAGATGGCTATACAGATAGCTGAAATTGAGTTCTATCAGCTGGTAAAGTAAATATTTAGATGACTATACAGATAGCTGAAATTGAGCTCTATCAGCTGATAAAGTAAATATTTAGATGACTATACAGATAGCTGAAATTGAACTCTATCAGCTGATAAAGTAAATATTTAGATGACTATACAGATAGCTGAAATTGAGCTCTATCAGCTGATAAAGTAAATATTTAGATGACTATACAGATAGCTGAAATTGAGCTCTATCAGCTGATAAAGTAAATATTTAGATGACTATACAGATAGCTGAAATTGAGCTCTATCAGCTGATAAAGTAAATATTTAGATGACTATACAGATAGCTGAAATTGAGTTCTATCAGCTGATAAAGTAAATATTTAGATGACTATACAGATAGCTGAAATTGAGCTCTATCAGCTGGTAAAGTAAATATTAAGATGACTATAGAGATAGTTGAAATTGAGCTCTATCAGCTGGTCAAGTGAATATTTAGATGACTATACAGATAGCTGAAATTGAGTTCTATCATCTGGTAAAGTAAATATTTAGATGACTATACAGATAGCTGAAATAGAGTTCTATCAGCTGGTAAAGTAAATATTTAGATGACTATACAGATAGATGAAATTGAGCTCTATCAGCTGGTAAAGTAAATATTTAGATGACTATACAGATAGCTGTAATTGAGTTCTATCAGCTGGTAAATTAAATATTTAGATGACTATACAGATAGCTGAAATTGAGCTCTATCAGCTGGTGGTGTAAATATTTAGATGACTATACAGATAGCTGATGGATTGAGTTCTATCGGCTGATAAAGTAAATATTTAGATGACTATACAGATAGCTGAAATTGAGCTCTATCAGCTGGTGGTGTAAATATTTAGATGACTATACAGATAGCTGAAATTGAGCTCTATCGGCTGGTAAAGTAAATATTTAGATGACTATACAGATAGTTGAAATAGAGCTCTATCAGCTGGTAAAGTAAATATTTAGATGACTATACAGATAGCTGAAATTGAGCTCTATCGGCTGGTAAAGTAAATATTTAGATGACTATACAGATAGCTGAAATAGAGCTCTATCAGTGGTAAAGTAAATATTTAGATGACTATACAGATAGCTGAAATTGAGCTCTATCAGCTGGTAAAGTAGATATTTAGATGACTATACAGATAGCTGAAATTGAGCTATTTCGGCTGATAAAGTAAATATTTAGATGACTATACAGATAGCTGAAATTGAGCTCTATCGGCTGGTAAAGTAAATATATAGATGACTATACAGATAGCTGAAATAGAGTTCTATCAGCTGGTAAAGTAAATATGTAGATGACTATACAGATAGCTGAAATTGAGCTCTATCGGCTGGTAAAGTAAATATTTAGATGACTATGCAGATAGCTGAAATTGAGCTCTATCAGCTAGTGGTGTAAATATTTAGATGACTATACAGTTAGCTAAAATTGAGCTCTATCGGCTGGTAAAGTAAATATTTAGATGACTATACAGATAGCTGAAATAGAGCTCTATCAGCTAGTAAAGTAAATATTTAGATGACTATACAGATAGCTGAAATTGAGCTATATCGGCTGGTAAAATAAATATTTAGATGACTATACAGATAGCTGAAATAGAGCTCTATCAGCTGGTAAAGTAAATATTTAGATGACTATACAGATAGCTGAAATTGAGCTCTTTCGGCTGATAAAGTAAATATTTAGATGACTATACAGATAGCTGAAATTGAGCTCTATCGGCTGGTAAAGTAAATATTTAGATGACTATACAGATAGCTGAAATAGAGCTCTTTCGGCTGATACAGTAAATATTTAGATGACTATACAGGTAGCTGAAATTGAGCTCTATCAGCTGGTAAAGTAAATATTTAGATGACTATACAGATAGCTGAAATTGAGCTCTATCCGTTGGTAAAGTAAATATTTAGATGACTATACAGATAGCTGAAATTGAGCTCTATCAGCTGGTAAAGTAAATATTTAGATGACTATACAGATAGCTAAAATAGAGTTCTATCAGCTGGTAAAGTAAATATTTAGATGACTATACAGATAGCTGAAATTAAGTTCTATCAGCTGGTAAAGTAAATATATAGATGACTATACAGATAGCTGAAATTGAGCTCTATCAGCCGGTGGTGTAAATATTTAGATGACTATACAGATAGCTGAAATTGAGCTCTATCAGCTGGTGGTGTAAATATTTAGATGACTATACAGATAGCTGAAATTGATTTCTATCAGCTGGTGGTGTAAATATTTAGATGAGTATACAGATAGCTGTAATTGAACTCTATCGGCTGGTAAAGTAAATATTTAGGTGATTGTATACCTTAAATAGCCGTCTGTGGGGAAGATAGCATGTGAATGTCTAAAGTAATTAGAACTAATTAAATCTAACCACAGACATTCCTTGTTAAAATCACCTTTATTCTATTATAATTTTAATTAACCAGACAGTCTGCTTGGTCGGGTCTGATTGATTGTTGATGTTCCGAGAATTATAATGATAGGATCTTAAGAGGTATTCAGGTCGACCTCCTGACTGACAGAATATGAAATCAATTGGATTAAAATCAACAAGTGGTGGTCTCTCAGACAATCAGATCTGAGGTATGAGCACACCAACGACTCCAAAATCCAATTGCTGCCGGTTGCCATCGTGTTCAGTTCTGAATTAGTCGACTGACGAATTGCCAATGATAAGTATAATTAGTCGGCAAACACTTTTATGGTACATCAAATAAGCAATACATTAATGAATATTATATCTATATTTGTAATTTTTTTTTTTAAACAAAATTTCTTTTTGTCAAATTCGGCATGATGTATTTACCACGTGTGCTTTGATGTAGTTAGTAACGACATAGTACTATAGAAGTGATCGTAATTTCGGACTTTCCAATAGAATGTAGATAAGTAGTCTATCAAGTTTTCCATCGACTTGAATAAACTTGACTTGACAACAAGCATCCGCATGACATCCTATTCAACGATGCAGTTCGCAGGGTCTGAGATGGACCAGTTGTAGAGTCGTTCGGATAATATCGTATGATACAGCAGAAACATCCTCGTTATCCACATGACATCTTCTACGATGATGCAGTGCAATTTACTAACAGTGTCGAGTCTTTTTGATAATATCGGATGATAATGTAGATATCACCTTCAGTCCCAGAATACGGAAATATATTCTCAATGTGTCTAACACCATCAATATTGAATATTGTTCGATTTGAATATATATAACCTACTACTTTTTATTGAATTCTGATTATAAAAACTACTCTCAGTTGGTGATTAATCTCTCCAGGGAAATTGTATAAATGTCTTCAATGATCGCTGACATTTTATTTTTTATATGACAGAAATATCAGCACGAAAATAACTAAAATATGAATACCATGATCCATCATATTAATAAAAGATGATAGGATAATACTCAAGTCACAACAAGTCGACAAGAGAGAAGTTTTCTACATATGAAATTACACACCCTAGGCCCACGCTCCGCAAAAATTCTTACGATGGAAATTTGTCGTAAGTGTCGAATTTTACATTGAAAAATGTCATACTTACCAAAAAGATAATCGTAAGATATTTTTGTGAAACAGGGCCACGACCTAGTTACCGGAATCAGTTCACGAACTAAGTTGACCGCCATGTTAAAAGCGTGACGCATCAACTGTCATCATCAACCCCCGAGCATCACGAACTACAACCCACACGCTACTAATGATCACGACTGTTACTAACCCCGAAGAATTATATTAATATCATCAGGAACAAGGAAGTACTATCAAAACTAAAGTACTAATTGAAAACTCGTGATTCCCTCGAGAGGTTTTGGTACCTGACATTAAGTACCCCTCACACAGAACCAGTAATTAAAATTTAATCTTATAACGTCTTACAGTTCAACTTGCCTCCAGCGTCACGATTTTGTTATTAGAAAACAGCCAGTGGCAGTCGCAGTCCCCTCCACCCCCCCCCCCATATTATTTATTATGTAAAAATCTTGAAATTGGCTGCCTTCACTGTTGTACCGCATTAGGTCCGGTTCCGGCGGAAAATTACTCAGTTCTCATTGATGATAAATAAAGCAAGTACCTATTAACCCCGAAATCAAAATAACATGTTGACGAAACTTTGGTAGCAGCTAATGAACTCTTCACGCGAGTAAGTATATCAATCATAAGTTAGAAAGTATTTTATAATAAAAAGTGGTATCAGGTGTCTAGAAGAGTAGGCATACCCTGCCCTGATATGAGTCTAAATCTAAGTTCAGTGGAAACAACTGGAATCTGAACCGACGCTCTGTAGATTTAAGAGTCAACCTTAGTGTCAAAGAAGCTAATAACACTGTGTAATATAGATTGACACCACTACTATTATAACGTATTTATTAAGCGAGTTTATAACACTATGAGTTAAATACTGTTATAAGTACTGTGTAATAGTAATAAAATATTAATTAACTATAATCAAGACTGATCTGTGAATAATTGATTTCAAGAAAATTAATCAGTTGCTTAAAATCATGATAATTGTTTTGGCCACGAAATTTCTAAGCCGTAGAAGGACAAAAGGTTTGCAGAATTAACTGAAATGGTGTGATGATTCTCTCCGCAATTAGCTAATCCAGTTAATCCTAAACCGCTGTAAGATCGATTAAATTAGGAAGAATTTATATTTTAACTAAAGTATTAGTCAGATTATGTAGTTTACATTTGTTGGTTGGTTATTTATATATAAGTGTTGGTTTGGTGGTTTGTACAATCGTGATGGGAATTTGCTTCACAAAGGTTTCATTGTACTACAATGTTTCTACAATTTACATAGCAACTCGATTGACATATTACACTGTTTCGATTCTGCCTTTATTATAATAATTGGGTAGTAAATAACAGGACACAATTGTATTTTAATAAATAACTTCTTCAAACTATTTGGGCAACATGAAATAGGCCTACTATTGACCTCTCTAGGAGCTACCTCCAATGTGCAATATAGAGATAAGCCAGAGATCATCGTCGGCCAATTTCTTTATTTATGTATATCACGATGATCGATTATATTTATTGATCGATTTATATTTAATATTAGGCTAAAGGGGTCAATTGAATGAATGAATTGAATTTTCATTAATGGCTCTTTTTGTGGGAAGAGGGCGTCGGAGGGGGGCGGGGGGCAATATATATTATGTCTGTACTTGTATGTGTATCAGGGACACTGAAAGCATCAATAGGAATGATGCTTCTAAACGCTACACGTGTCTGATGTATACATAATTATATAAAGAAATTTAAACAGATTGAAAAGAGCTTTTCTAGTCTCTTTATTTAAATTAGAAAGATGTAAATAGTAGCAACATACTAACAGGCTAGAAACCTTTTTATATCATTTCAATAATCACCTATTACTTTAACTATAATATTACCCGATACGTTCTCAAGCCACAAACGTTTTTAATACATACCCGAGATTTTAATCAAATTGGTAGCAGCTATTACAGGTGTGTCTTTTATCTTTTCTTGATGGTATGGCGAAGGGTATTATGAATTTGAGTAAAAAGTGAAAAAAAATCATCAACTTACCCTATAAATGTAAATACTCCGATATCTTCAATTTCCTCTTTCACCCTTATCCACGAATTTCTCAACAATATAACCTCACTTTCACTAATATCAGGGGGTGGGGCAGGTTTCTTTCTACTTCCTTTAAATAATCTGTATTTCGGCGAACTTGTTTCGGCATGATGACAATTTTTAGCTCCCATGTTGTAAACGATAAAATACTACGTGCACATGATATAAGAATTATAGTAAAAACTCAGTGTTTCTCGAGACCATTTGGTTCAAAACGATTTACTACCGCTAAGTTCAGCTAGAAAATATAAAATAAAGTTGCAGTGAACTTGAATAATAGTAAACCTTGTGAATTCCAGTAATGAGAATGACTGATATTTAATAGACGTTGCTTGGTATTTGTATGTATTCCTACGAGGGTTATAGCTGACGTGTGTGGTTCCAGTACTTGCAGAAATAAGTGATAATAACGTCACTATCGTAAATACCATTCAATCCTACCAATGGAGTGCAACTTTCAGAAATTGTCGTAAATTTGCAAGAAAAGGGCAAACTTGTGCCTGCTTTGCAAATGAAATGCTTTGTACAAGAAACTCAAAAAATAATAGTGACCTTGATTCGTTTCAATTTGATTCGTTTTACTCGAATATTTGTGCGTTTTGCGTCTTGAATTTGCCATGCTCAATTAAAAGTTACTGAACTGATAGTTTGGCTACGTCAACCAAGAAATACTTGTATGCAATCTAATTTATCACAAATTTCATAACTATTTTAATCTACACAGAAATTGTCAAACTAAAAAATATTACGACGAAGAAAGAAATGCAATACAAAACTTTCAAAATTTTCAAAAATCAAAAGCACTATGTTCAAAAACTTACATTTGTCTACAAAATCACTTCCGCTTTCATCCCCTTTATTTTTAAGAATTTCGTTTTATCAGAAAACACAGAAAAAACAGAAACAAAACAACTAGAAATAGATTGAAATTAGCCAAGATTGTCCAGCTCTATTGTACATTTTTGAAGAATTTGTTTATCGATATATCATCATATTAAGTTTATTATTGTCAATGTCCAAAGTTTTCACGAAACCACAAAAATTACTCATAAAAATCAACAACACAATAAATCCTTTTGTTTTGTTCCAAGAAATATTCTGAATGCCACTGTCCTTTTCAATTATTATCAATTGCTGTGGAGTCAAAATACTTGGTCACGATTGAAAATAAAACGCTGTCAATAAAGTGAAACACTGAAGGAATTATATCCTAAACATCAATGTATCACAATATATAACAATGGAACTCAATATTGACCAATAACAACACAGCTCTTTAAACATTGGTAAATAAGAACATTAGCTGATTGACAGACATAATATAGTTCTATACAAGACTTAGTTCTATGTATATATATATAATCAATAAAGGTGTAGAGTATAAGCGGATTTTAACCTCTTATTCATAGGGTATAACGTTAACTCAATTCAGCAGACAGACGCGTATTCCAGGCATGTGTGAATTGAATAATAGCATTTGAGAAGAATTTAAAGTTTTACCTTCTCTGAAAATAGCAGGAACTGAAGACAGATAGGAAAATAAGTCAGCCCATGAAAAATAATCGCTGAAGGAAATCAATAAAAGTTATATGAAGAGAATGACAGGCATGTAAAGATCAGGGGAAACTGGTAGCTGTCACAGGAGAAGAAGATATCTTCCGGCACTTCATAAATGACAGATAAAGATATAATTATAATTATGTGGAGTCTCTGAAATGGATACGGAGTTCATTAACATAGATACTAGATGGTCATCATTAGTCATGTGAACTCTCTGAAAGAGTTACTGAGTAGGCAAAGTGATGAGTTGATAAACCAGTCCTGGAGCCAAAGGGAGAGGGAGGTGGTTAGAGGGGGCAGCCGCCATCCCCCCTCTCGTAGCCCCGAAAGCAATTTTTCGGGCAAAAATCCCGAATAAAAATTCGTGAAATCTCAGATATTTCGCCCCCTCTCGGACGCAAACCTTGCTCCGCCACTGTGACAAACCCAAGTACCAAATCAACATTAGCTATGTGGACTCTCTGAAATGGGTTCCGCGTTCATTAACCTAAATACCAGATCAATATTTTTGACCAGTAGTTATGTAGACTCTCTAGAAGAGATCCTGGGAGAGACAGGATAAAAACCAAAATGGAAATTATGAACAGCAACAAACGAGTTGACAAACGAAATGTTAAAAAAAGAGCATTAGCTATGTGGACTCTCTGAAAAAGATCCCTGAGAGGGAAACCTTTATGCAAAAAAAAACCAAATTAAATATCATTAAGCAATTACTACAATACAATTACAATAGTTGAACTTCAAAACTTGCGATTGTTATTTCCTGCCACCTTAAAACGTTTCTGATTACACATTACACCTTCTACGTGTTCTATGACACGAGTTCCCTTGTTCCCAAGGTGCAAGCACACCATAGCGATACTCCATTGTCCGATACATTCAGATGTACTCTCTTTCTACTTCAACCTACAGATCTATCAATTAATATTCTTTTATATGGAACAACATGTCAAGAATCAACAATAACCGTTTTCCAGCAAGTTCATAATTTCATTCATTCTGCATTTCCTAATCTTCAACCAATATCACTAGCATTGAGGTGTAGTTATCTCTCATGTAAATATGTTTAGTTAATTTCAAAATAACAAAATTACTATGTTTCATTTTATTTTTATTATACAATTTTTGCATATATAATGTAATGTTTTTTTTTCGGGAGAGGGGTAATATAAGCGAAAGCCTGTTCCCCAATCCTTTTCTATGTGAATAAGATATTGTTTACAAAAAAAAAAAAACCATAGCGATCACCAGATGCATATGGTCGCGAATAAACCATAAGTTTCGAGCGCATTTCTTATGCAACTTGTTGTGAGTTGCGTTCGGAACTCATAGCCACTGTCATTCTCTACTGGTAATCTTGATGGCGTGAGGACATTTTAGAAACAAAAGAATGTGCGGCGATTTACTCCATGTCTTTCACGTCTGGTCTAGTCTATTTCACAGTGATTTATCTTGATTATACCCAAACCTCTTTTAACTTTTAGATAAAAAAATGAGTGAAAATGCCACAATTTTAATATTTAAGTATAATGAGCTATTCATTTCTCTATTACCAAATATCCAATTAAATTTAAAAAAATAAAATCGTTTTTGTCTTCTTTGAGAAAAATTCCATTAAGTTTGATTTTAATTCCTTAACCATTCCTGTCATTTCACAGATAATCTGCGTTTTTAATGACGTTTAAATGTTTGTATCATGCCATTTAAAGAATAATCCGAAACACTGACATTCTGGTCACTATAAGTTTAGATTTTCTATGGCACTCAAATTTATTTTCAAGACGATATTGTAACTTAGACGTGACTGAGACATAGATAGTCCTGAAAAAGTGGGTATGTTTACTCGATATATTCCATTAGAGTTCATAAGGAAGTTTTTCTTACTGTATCTAACCGACATTTTACAATCACTATCTAGGGCACGAGTTTGTTTACACGAGCAACAACATTAAGAATCCGCACAAGTGTGGTGGTTCTATAGATTGCAACCAACTTGATCAGAGGTGTATATTAGTTAGAGGCAGAAGAGACAGCTCAAAACTCAAAACACATGTTCGTCGTACTCTAAAATTAGGCTCATTCGGTAATCCTCGACAGTTTCCGTAAAGATAAATCAATCTCGGTAATGAATGGTGAATTTCTCTGTGTATTCTTGGGCGAGACTCTTTACTTCCGGTATTAATCATTTAATTGTCAAGTGATAGTAATATTGCGACCTAAATATAGCCCATAACTTTAAATCCTAGGGGAGATAACCCTAACACTTACTAATGCTATATTTTGACTATTGGTTATTCAATGACACATTTCATTATCAGTTTGAATACATATTTTACGGATGTTTTGTTTTCATTGACTTTGATTGCGAATACCTCCCCAACGACTCGTCTCTAATATTTGATCACGTGACAATATAGGCAGAGTTTTGACAAGCCTGCCTTTCTTTATGTCAGATTCTTGATGTTAGTCAGACGTTTCAGACTATAGTTAAAACTATGTGTATTTGAAAATGATTGATGTTTCACTGCAAGTTTCAAATCGATCTCGTCTTTCCCCCAGAGACTCAGTAAATGGAATTAAAAAGACAGAAAGAAACAGCTAAATTTTACAAAGATAAAAACTTTACAGTTTATAGAATCCTTTCTACCAGATGGTTCTTGGCCAAACCTTTCGGCATTGATTTATTTCGGATTATCCGTACCCATTTACATCTGGGTTGACTGGAATTATCAGTGAAGATAACTCATTCAAGGTGATCGGATTTCCACACGCCGATCTTGCCTTTCCCCCAGAGACTGGGTAAATGGAATTAGTTCAAGAGGTAGCCCTGGTATTGAGTCAGATGTGTATCTTTATCATATTTAGACATCAGTTCTGAAGATTTCTCAAACAAATAGTACCGAGCAATTTACTTGATCCTGACTCGACTACCAACTACTACTACGATTGCCAACAACTACCCAGTCAGCTGGAAGAGAGCGTTAACTTGTTATCTACCAACAACTACCTAGTCTGTGATATCAGTTAGCTGGAAGCGGACGTTAACTTGTTATCTACCAACAACTACCTAGTCTGTGATATCAGTCAGCTGGAAGAGAGCGTTAACTTGTTATCTACCAACAACTACCTAGTCTGTGATATCAGTTAACTGGAAGCGGACGTTAACTTGTTATCTACCAACAACTACCTAGTCTGTGATATCAGTTAGCTGGAAGCGAGCGTTAACTTGTCATCTACCAACAACTACCTAGTCTGTGATATCAGTTAACTGGAAGCGGACGTTAACTTGTTATCTACCAACAACTACCTAGTCTGTGATATCAGTTAGCTGGAAGCGGACGTTAACTTGTTATCTACCAACAACTACCTAGTCTGTGATATCAGTTAGCTGGAAGCGAGCGTTAACTTGTCATCTAACAACAACTACCTAGTCTGTGATATCAGTTAGCTGGAAGCGAGCGTTAACTTGTCATCTACCAACAACTACCCAGTTAGCTGGAAGCGAGCGTTAACTTGTTATCTACCAACAACTACATAGTCTGTGATGTCAGTTAGCTGGAAGTGGACGTTAACTTGTCATCTACCAACAAGTACCTAGCCTGTGATATCAGTTAGCTGGAAGCGGACGTTAACTTGTTATCTACCAACAACTACCTAGTCTGTGATATCAGCATCCGCTGGAAGCGAGCGTTAACTTGTCATCTACCAACAACTACCTAGTCTGTGATATCAGTTAGCTGGAAGCGAGCGTTAACTTGTCATCTACCAACAACTACCTAGTCGGTGATATCAGTTAACTGGAAGCGACCGTTAACTTGTCATCTATCAACAACTACCTAGTCTGTGATATCAGTTGGCTGGAAGCGAACGTTAACTTGTCATCTACCAACAACTACCTAGTCTGTGATATCAGTTAGCTGGAAGCGGACGTTAACTTGTCATCTATCAACAACTACCTAGTCTGTGATATCAGTTAGCTGGAAGCGAACGTTAACTTGTCATCTTCCAACAACTACCTAGTCTGTGATATCAGTTAATTGGAAGCGAACGTTAACTTGTCATCTACCAACAACTACCTAGTCTGTGATATCAGTTAGCTGGAAGCGAACGTTAACTTGTCATCTACCAACAACTACCTAGTCTGTGATATCAGTTAACTGGAAGCGAACGTTAACTTGTCATCTATCAACAACTACCTAGTCTGTGATATCAGTTGGCTGGATGCGAACGTTAACTTGTTATCTACCAACAACTACCTAGTCTGTGATATCAGTTAGCTGGAAGCGGACGTTAACTTGTCATCTATCAACTACTACCTAGTCTGTGATATCAGTTAGCTGGAAGCGAGCGTTAACTTGTCATCTATCAACAACTACCTAGTCTGTGATATCACTTAGCTGGGAGCGAGCGTTAACTTGTCATCTACCAACAACTACCTAGTCTGTGATATCAGTTTGCTGGAAGCGAGCGTTAACTTGTCATCTACCAACAACTACCTAGTCTGTGATATCAGTTAGCTGGAAGCGAGCGTTAACTTGTCATCTACCAACAACTACCTAGTCTGTGATATCAGTTAGCTGGAAGCGTGCGTTAACTTGTCATCTATCAACAACTACCTAGTCTGTGATATCAGTTAGCTGGAAGCGAGCGTTAACTTGTCATCTACCAACAACTACCTAGTCTGTGATATCAGTTAACTGGAAGCGAACGTTAACTTGTCATCTATCAACAACTACCTAGTCTGTGATATCAGTTAACTGGAAGCGAACGTTAACTTGTCATCTATCAACAACTACCTAGTCTGTGATATCAGTTAACTGGAAGCGAACGTTAACTTGTCATCTACCAACAACTACCTAGTCTGTGATATCATTTAGCTGGAAGCCACTCTTTGGCTCCGCCACTGCTTGTGGCGTGTTCCCTTCTGGTGTGTTCCCTGGTGACCTTGTGGACGGTGAAGGTTGGTCAAAATAAAGGCATATCAATTATCATCCTTACCGTTATACATAAGTCAAAAAGTCGCAATAGAAATATAATATCTATTCTTGATCTTTGACATTTTTAAATGTCTACTGCTATTACCCTTTTCTAAATTAACAAACGAATCAGATGCCAGATTGTCTTTCTGAAAGGTACTACAGGCAATTTAAATATTCAGAAATATTCTCAGAAGTTTCGACTATCCCCTTCACCCAACAAACATGATTCTTAACAATACTGAAAATTTAGTTTCTCGTTTATTTATTGGTAACAACACAAAGGCAGACAAAGGTAGTTATCTATTATACTTGTAGCAGGAAATACGAGTATAGTTTGATCATTAAAACGAATTACTAATAACTAATTAGTCCAGCTAATTAACCTGGGTGAAATGCTTTTTGATCTCAGCCGCTAATAGATTGAACCATGTTTCTGTAAACGTGAAGTAGATTCGTAATGTAATAAAGGAATGGCTCTTATTGCAGGAATTATAAATGACTCAAATATCGAACCTTATAGTGTAAAACTCTTCTCTTATTACACTAGCTTATTAACCTTTGCTCGGCTGTAAAAAGATCATAATATGATAAGATCGTGGCTCGATTTCAAAGATTGACACATTCTCGAATATCAGAAATTGAAATTATAATAATTAAACCTGACATCCCTGTTGTTAGTTTTCTGACATCCTGTGCGGAATTCAGTTCTGGCATCCTGTCCGGAATACTGTTCTGGCACCCTGTCCGGAATACTGTTCTGGCATCCTGTGCGGAATTCTGTTCTGGCATCCTGTGCGGAATACTGTTCTGGCATCCTGTGCGGAATACCGTTCTGGCATCCTGTGAATAATTCTGTTCTGGCATCCTGTCCGGAATTCTGTTCTGGCATCCTGTGAATAATTCTGTTCTGGCATCCTGTCCGGAATACTTTTCTGGCATCCTGTCCGGAATACTTTTCTGGCATCCTGTGCGGAATTCTGTTCTGGCATCCTGTGCAGAATACTGTCCTGGCATCCTGTCCGGAATTCTGTTCTGGCATCCTGTCCGGAATTCTGTTCTGGCATCCCCCTATAATAGTTACTTTCGTTTTGTTAGTATCATGTCCCATGTAATCCTTTAACTTTTGATTGCGCACGCAGTCGTAAATGGCCATCCGACAACTTTCAATATAGCTATTAGAGGCTGGAATAGAGGCAGATGTTTCAGTCAAGTCTTGAAACCACAAGCTATACGTCTTGTGCCATTCACCTCCTCAAATCATAACCCCTCCGTCTCCCGATTCACTACCTCGAATCAATAAGTAAACAACTATGACAAATATTCTTCATTGTACGAACTGATAGGACAATATAATTGTTTTATTCCTTATTCTGATATTTCTATCTCTCTGTCTATTCTACTTGAAAATTGTCTAATGCGTCGTTGCGGAAGTGAAATCATTTTTTAATATTGCCGAGTGCATCGCAGCGGAAGTGAAATAAGTTTTCAACTATGTCTAGTGCGTCGAAGCGGAAGTAAAGATAATCTATCTGCTATTGTCTCAGTCCACTATGATATATCAATCCCAATTCCGTTTTAGAATCTTCAGTTCTTTCCATTTGAACCGTGAAAAAGTGTCTATCTGACTGAAAGGATAGATTTATTTTATTATAAACTATAATGACCTAACTTTTTATATCCTGACATTTTATTTTGGTTAAAGGGTTATCTTTTTATTCGATATATTTCCCAGACTTAAGACGTTTTTCGTTTCATTTCCACTTTAGAATTGTGTTATCTATAACGATTCAGCTGTATCGACTGGTAAATCAAGAGTACTTTAAATATACTTAATTATTTCCATGGTATTTCTTGGCTGTTACAACAAGCTACCACCCAGCAACTTTAGACGATGAAGTTGAAAAATGCCGGATGAAGTATGCATATTTTGGTGGCTACTTAACATTTTCAGGGTGGATATTCATAGCAATCTACTTAAAATAAGTTATTTTTATTAGCTTTTAATTTTGATATTGCCAAAACAGTTTGACAGCCCACATGAGCGTTCGATAAATTGAACTTTGACCTAAACTGACTCAATAATATATTGATGATAGGTAATAATGTATTTAAAGATCAGTGTTCGGAATGTGATGCTTTATGTTGATACAAAGTGATATAGACATCTCGAATATAACTGATGTCGCTAGACTCTGCTGGTGGACAAGATTGACCCCAGCATTATTCTTTTTTCAACCTAATAAATTTCAAATTTCAAGTCCAAGGCCATGGTATGTATAGATTTAGGGTCAAATATTATTCTGGCGGATGTCAAATTTTGTAAAACGTATCAGTAAACTCCTCGGGTGGGCAAGTTTGACCCCGGCATTATTCTTTTCTAATTTTGAGGTAAGAATCAACAAGTTTCTAGCTAGCCAACTGTCAAATCAAACTATTAAAGGCGAGGTTAGTCCAAGGCCACAGAATATATTAATTAAAACTCCATAAATACTCTTGCGAATGTCAAATTTAAGAAGAATAGATCAATGGAAAGCAAGCGTAGAAACGAAACTTGCAAGAGAAAAATCAAAAAAAAAAAAAAAAATCATCCAGATTCTCAATTTAATCAAATTGCGAAATGGCTGAAAATAGAAGCTCCAAGTGTTTCTGAACAGCAGGATTTGCCATTAATATAATAAACCCCTGGCAAAAAGTGTTGTGATGCAAAGTTGAAAAGAATGTAGCACGAAATAATTAACAAATTAACCTTAGTTTAACCAACAGCTAGGTTTATTCAGTAGTTATATGATTGTAAATAGATGAAAGAAAGACACAAACCTCTTTAATAATTACAATTATATCTAGTACGAAAATAGTTATTGACAGTTGTTAGCTAGCTAGAAACTTACTGACTCTTACCTAGCCTCTGATAGTTATTGACAGTTGTTAGCTAGCTAGAATCTGACTGAGTCTTACCTAGCCTCTGATAGTTATTGACAGTTGTTAGCTAGCTAGAATCTTACTGACTCTTACCTAGCCTCCGATAGTTATTGACAGTTGTTAGCTAGCTAGAATCTGACTGAGTCTTACCTAGCCTCTGATAGTTATTGACAGTTGTTAGCTAGCTAGAATCTGACTGAGTCTTACCTAGCCTCTGATAGTTATTGACAATTGTTAGCTAGCTAGAATCTGACTGAGTCTTACCTAGCCTCTGATAGTTATTGACAGTTGTTAGCTAGCTAGAAACTTACTGACTCTTACCTAGCCTCTGATAGTTATTGACAGTTGTTAGCTAGCTAGAATCTGACTGACTCTTACCTAGCCTCTGATAGTTATTGACAGTTGTTAGCTAGCTAGAATCTTACTGACTCTTACCTAGCCTCTGATAGTTATTGACAGTTGTTAGCTAGCTAGAAACTTACCAACTTACCGTGCCTAACCTAACCTAGTGTTTGTTGTTGAATGATGTCAGCTAGATAGATAGCTTGGTTATCTGCTACCTAGCAATTGGACTATAACTGCCTGACAAGGAGACACAGTGATATCACTTTGCTACCTAATATGGCCATCAGGGGATATAATAAAAGTCAATAAATTTCTAGCTAACTGAGAACTGCCAATTGTCAATTAAAGAGGCGAGGTAAGGATCAACAAGTTTCTAGCTAGCTAACAAAATCTGCTAGAGTCAGCCAGTTTCGGACTATTCCGAGCCTGAGGTAAGACCATCATGTCCTCTTGGCAACCTGTTACATTATAACTATTTTATTTGAAGTGAGGAGAACTAGAGGAAACCATTAAGAAGTAATCGGAATAATGAGTTTAAATAAAACTCAACCAACTTCCATCAATAAATATCTATATAAACAGAATATTAATCTTATTCGCTAATTGTACTTTATAACCGGCATCGAATTAAGAATAAGTATAGCGATATCTACCTGATGCGCTACACGGGAGATAACTAGTTCCGATTTGTGATTGAACAGACTACGAGTTACATCGTATTTCTATTAGGATAATGAGGATCTGAGGCGATGGAAGAAGTTAAAATGACACGGCATGTCACTGTGACCTGGAGATTATCAATACAGATGTAACAACGTTTAGCCTAAGACAAAGGGATAGAAATGTCGATATCTTCAAGCATAAAGATTGGCCACGATTGCATTTACTTCGAATTCTTTACGACGGCATGGACGAAAGAGATCCCAAATATATGGTGGTTCATTTAGGAATAATAATATGAATAATCATAATGATAAAATAATAATAATAAGCTCTTTATTTTACATGGGTCAGAATTAGACCCAATACATAAGGACATTTTCCTGTCTAAAATTCAGTCCATGGGGACAATATAATGAACGAATGAGAAAAAAAAAACCCAAAATACACGTTAATAAGGACAGGAAAGAAGATAATTCAAAATAAAATAAAATAGAAATTGACTGGTTAAATTAAGTCATAATCTTAACAAAATAATCAAGTCCTAAACTAGCCACCGTAAAAATGGATAAAATGGAATTAGAAATTGAAATATAACATAGGGCATATTTCATAATTGAAAAGATCAAAAATTATCATTAAGTGAGCACAAATAGGAAACTATAGTCATAATTTGAAAAAATACAAAATTTGTCCGGAATGTACTACCGTAATAATCAATAAAAAAGAAATATAAATTAAACGATAAAGAAGTTAATCAATGACTAATAGAACCAGTCCATCATTTTACAAATCGTCAGGATTTACAAAATCTTCTCTTTTCTTTAAAGGTTAAATAGCACACAGATAAAATTGTAAAAGCGAAAATAGATGAAAAATATTTTAATAGTTTAATTGATGGATGATTTCAGACCGCTTTTTAAAAACAAAAATGGTTTATTTCCTCGTACACGCAACGTTTGGCTTGTCAAATTATCACAAGTAGGTCAATATTTCCTGGCATCATAGCAATTACCATTTGTGTATGGTTGTGAATAATGAAAGTGGTCATGAGTATCGAATGCAACTCACAACTCAGTTACATGAGAGTTCGAAACTTATGACCGTTATTCTCATTCGCAATCATTCGGGACTGGCGATCACCCTGTTCTGAGGATCCCCTAAATTTCTTATTAAGTTAAAGATAGAACGGACAACCATGGCCCCCTATAAAAGATGCTGACCCGGCTTTGCTACCCTTTTGCTGTAAATTTTTTTTACTTAGTGAAAGAATAGTCTGTGGTCCCTGTTCGGCCCCCTCCCCCTCACCTGATGTTTCCATAGTTCTTTTGTTGTAGATATTGTTGATGTACGAGATCAAAGTATGAATGATATTGCTTATTTTTCTAGACACCTGATACCTCTTTTTATTATGAAATATTTCCTCATTTATGATTGATTTACTTCCTCTTGTGAAAACTTCATTGGCTGCTAATGTTTCGCCAATGAGTTCTTTTGTTTTCGGGTTTCGTTTCGCGGTTTGGATCGTTAAAACTTGGCTTATTTAT